GTGAATGGGTGAATGAATGTAGTGTAAAGCGCTTTGGTCAAGTCTCCTAACTTGAATACAGGTGCTATATAAGTTTTACCATTCAGGCACAGTGCAGGAAGGCGGAGTCAGGCGACCAACGGGGAGCGAAAAGTAGTGATCATCTGTCCCAACGGTCAGTTATCGGAGTTCACTATCTAGTCCTCGCTCTATAGTGATTGAGGGATTTTGGTCGGAAAACTTTGTTTCTCTTTTTATATATATATTAATTTATGCTATTTACTCACTATAAAAGTTTTCAATCAGCCTGTTTCACCTGCAAGGCCACACAATCCCCCTTTGTGAGGGTGTTTTTATACAAGATTTAAACAGATTCTTTCTCAAGGTTTATTCATAAAATGTTACTGTTTAACCAAAGTGTGTGTAATTCGTTTTGACTCTGACAACTTTCCCTTATTGTAAGTAAGCGGAATGAACGCTGCCCAGGCAGAACAGGGCTGATTACCCTATGATAAGGGCCGTAAGATGAACTGTTTTCTCTTTGTGAAGATAAAAATAAAGTGCCGAATGAGTAAAATCCATCAATCTCCGTTTATTTACCTGAAGTGAATGGTTGAATACTTCTTTCCCACTACAGGGATTTAGGGGTTAGGGCGGACATTCGGACGTAAACTAAATTTGAATGCTTTAAAGATGGCTAACAAAGCCTAATGCAGTAGTTAACAATTTTGAATCCATGATCTAAAATCCTAAAACGTAATATTTTAGACTTCATGAGTGCAAGAATCAACATTTCTGCTCATTTAGGCTGTAATTTAATTTTTTTTTTTTCTATTTAAATAAAAACAAGAACTTATATATATATATTCTTGTAAATACCAGACAACTGATAACTTTTATCTTGCAGGGAGCATTTCATACTGATTCAGACCTAATTATGATCATTTGCGAGGCCAAAGGAAAACTGGGGACAGTTTTTGCTTTGAAAGACGCCATAAAATGAAAACCTTCTGAACCACAGCTGTGAGCCAAATCCCAAATGGGCAACAGAGATAAGAAGCTGAACACGTTGGGTCTTAAACCAACTACTGGACTAGTGTAGCATGTTTAAATTCACTACTAGCCCAAATTGGTCTCCAAAGACTGTTTTTTTGATAGCGGCCATGAATTTCATTTTGTGTCAATCCCATTGGGTGGCAATAAGAGGACAGGTTGTTTTTTAAATGACCTTTTTATTTTAGATAAAACAGAAAATGGAGTTAAAATATAAAATAGAACAGAGCTTGCATGTAGGTTGGTAGCTTAATTTCTCATCTGGAGGAACATTTCTTGTCAAATAACCTAAAAAGCGTCATAGAACAGATTTAAAAATCCTCTTGAAATATATCATATCCAACGACAGCGATGGCTGCATACTCAAACACAGACACTCTGACCTGCAAACAGTTCTCCGACCACTTAATTCGTTGCCAAACAATTTGATTCTATGCTCTCCACATCAATCACTTACCAGACGTGTTCAAATGTTCCTGGCATTGAAAATTGGGCTTCAGATAAGCTTGGACTGAATAACAAGCATTTCTCTGTGAGTGTTGGTCTTTGGTCAGAGCCAAGTACCCACTGTCCCTGTAGGAGCTGCAGTTTTGGAATTGGCACCGACTAAACAAACCCTTCCACAGTCCTCTAAGTTGATTTTACATCGTTACTACGATTCAATTTGAACACTGGCCGCTGTCCATACCTCTGTAAGCCTCCATCACTCACTTTGAAAAACTTTTCTTAGAGGGATCTTGATTCTTTTTCATATCTGAAGCTTCAGTTTGCTCCTTTAAGTCATTTTAAGGCATTTATTGGCTCTTCTGGTATAAGAGTTTTATAAGTGCTAAAATAATTTCATTTATTTTTAGTAGCAGAGCCTCAAACAACCGTTGATAAGAAGAGGCTTCCGACCGTACGATAACCGATCTGTGATGCTGCGGGCTTTTTTTCTCTTCCCAAAGACCTGAAAATCTTTTTATATTTTTTTTACCCACCACAGTTTTTCCATAAGTAAACTAAAACTGCTGCTAAAACCAGTCCCTCAGTGGTTCTGCTAAACAAAAAACTGGTTAGAGGGACATTTATAAATCACTTTAAACATCTAATGTTGGATCTTCTGTTGCTTTCTAAAATGTAAACAGAAAATCAGAATAAACACAAACATAGTAATGTTCTAATATCATATTTTAACAACTAGAATGTTTAGAAATACTTTATTACAAGCTGAGTAATACAGTAATACAGTAATACAAAAATACATCTTATAAAAAAATGAAAAGATTAAAATAAAGCAGAGGTAGTGTATTGAGCAGAGTACAAATATGCAAAAGTAAAATATTAAATATTAACTAACGATTATAAACAGGTGAATAGAGGTAGAGTTACTGGGTCCTTCCTGGTACGGAGTCACAGACATTACAGTGATGGATTGTGGGTAGTGATAACAGCTAAAGCTACATTTGCAGTCGTGGTGTTTAAGCTTCAGTGCTCCTTATTGCTACAAATCAGGATGCTACAAAATTCTACATCTGTAAAATTCAATGCTTCTAATGTCTTTCCTTCCTTTTGTAAATATGGATCCAAACATGTTCTACTTCTCTAGATCCAGATGCCTATAACGCCTGTACAACTTTAAGGTATTATACACACTTCTAAAGTTTTTTTTGTTGTTTTTACTGTGGTAGGAAAATCACTATAATTAATGGAAATATAACCAATTATTAGAGATAACCCTAACATTTGTGCTTTTCACAGAGAACTAATAGGATGGCTCAGATTGACCAAGTTTGTAAATATTTGTTGACAGAAATAAGACCTGCGGTGAACTCGGGAGTGTTTACTGATTCCATCCATCTATCCATGTATGTAAACCTGTATGTATGCCTGTATATATGTATGCATGTATGTATGCATGTATGAATTTATGCATGTATGTATGCCTGTATGCATGTATGTATGCCTGTATGCATGTATGCATG